TAAAGATAAACATGACAGCAAAATTCCTGATTATTGAAAATATATAATTTCCTGTGAGTCTCTTTTATAGATACAAGAAGTTTGAAATAATTTCCTATCAATATGTACATTGAATTATTTTGTAGTGTGGAAATTGATAGACAAGAAAATTCAGCGAGTTAATTTACCTCACCAGAGGTCGAATTCTGTGCCATGGAGGAGTGAGCATCCTTTGTCGAGCGGTCAAAATCGCCGTGTGCATTTTCTCATGATCGGGAAATAACGGGAAAATTCGTCATTAACTAAGTTTAAATCTTAGGAAGTCGTTTATATTGCAAAGAGCAATATATGATGTGTCGTAAAGGGCCCCTTAAAATGAATACCGTAATTTTACTTTAAATTTAGCTCTAATTTACACGGCTATACATGTGTTCTTTATTGATTATATTTAATTAGATCAAAATGCCATTAATTTAGAAATATGACATAATAAAGTTCACGTTTTCCCGCCCGCCATTTTTGCATATTTTATATAAAACTGCTCATTTTCAAGCATTTTTCTTCTAAAAAATATTGTATCTGTACATGATTAATTATTTACAATTTTTTTTTTGAATGTTACAAGCTGCGCTCTATATTCCCCAGAAGAAAAAATGTCAAAAAAGTCCATTTTTATCTACTTATGGTTGGATTGCAAAAATAGCGCCATTTCTGACATGATTTTTAGCCTGTGAGTGCATATAAATGTTATGTAATCTCTCATACAGATAAAAATCAATTATACACATATGAATATCGTTCTAAAATGTTGCTTTTAGGGGACTAAAATTGACTCTTGTCATACATGTATATAGCTCTTTCCTTACCTGTTGTTTGATACTAAGTTTTACGTCGGTGGAAGATGCAATCGTTTTTGGCGTATCAGCTTTAATATATTCAGAATAAAATATAGATCTAACATAATGTATGAAACAATTAAGCCAAAGTTTATTTCAATGCTAGATAGTATTTCTTAATAAAGTCATTTTAAATAACATAGAATTTACGAATATCCAGGGACGTTGATTTCCTAAAACAAGAATTTGTGAGTAGAATAGCTTGCTTTATAGCTACATGAATATATATCGTATCTGAGCTAAAAAAATAAAAAATACGAGATGAAATGTAGATTTGCATAATGCTTATTTTTACGTTGAGATAGAAGTTTTTACCGAATTTGAACGTAAATATCCCCACGTTTGTATATATAGTTAGTTCCGAATTAGGTCTGAATTTGAAGCCCTTCACAGGTACACATCATAAAATTAATTAATGATATAAAACTTTGCTGTGTGAATGTCACAACAAAATCTAAAATATGTAACTTTATTGAAAGTCAACTTTTTCCTTGTTGTTAGTTGTGTGTACATACATTTTGAATAATTTCATAACCCCCACTATCCATTTAATTTTTAATGGTAAACATCTGAAACATCATCTCATTGAGGGATTTGGAGCATTTCATACACTTCTTTCTATTCAATGGTATTTGCGTGCTTTCATTTTGTGCTTTGTTTAAAATTATTTTCTGTATTGTTTCTTTGAAGAAACAAGATTCACCGGTGAGTTTCCGATTGCTAGTAAACAATGGGCATTGCTCTCTCTTTGGTGTCATATGTTAATTATTTAACAAATTTCTGAACATGTCATTGTCAAGATTGCCTTACTGTTCATAATTGGAACAGCAAATTGGGACCTTTGATACAATGATATGATATACACTTTCTTTGTTACAAAGATTTGTCCATTATCCACATGGCTCATAAACACGCATCAGAAACATCTGATCCTCCTTCTCAGATAGACTTATTTTCTTAAGGGAAGAAATTATTTAAATATTTGTTTTATTTTGAGTAATTTAGTATCTTAATTTTTCGTACTTTGTAAACAAAAAATCCATTTATATTACTTAGGAGCAAAGGGCTCCGAAATAAAACAAATATTCGCATGCATTATGCTTATGAAAAAGTTAAAGTTTTGAACAATGTCTTTCATTCTAAAAAAATCAAAAGTCGTTTGACATATTGTTGATGTTTTAAATGTAGATTTTTAAAAAAAGAATTTACAATAAATATTGTTGCACATCATTGATCTTCTAAATAATTTTGATTCTCTTTTGTAAACCACCGACTCATGTTATGCTTAGTTCTGCGTAATTTATTTGCAATTGTTTTGAACTGTAAATTTTCCCTTTTTGTAGTCTTCCATCATTTTAAACTGTGAATGTAACTTACATAAAAAAATTCCTTTAGAATTGTTTTCTTTTTTCTCTAATATTTTTTATTCTCATTCGTGTCTTTTTCGCATTCATTCGGCCAATGCTCCATGACGTTTATATTTTTACGACCTCTCCAGCCTATGGATGCTAAACTTAAATAACTTTCTGAAGAATATAACAAATATTCCCAAATAAAGTGTTTTTAATTATCAGATTAATATCAGTTCGTCAATCATCTATTGTAACGATTTGAAAATAGGGGAGCGTATCGAGGATCTGATTTTCACAAATTGAGGCGGTTTCTTTCAAACTATATTGCGACAAAAGTTTTAAAATCAAAAAAGTGGTACGCAAAAAAGCAATCTCCCATCCTCGAAAGAAAATTCAGAATGTAGTTATTTGATATTGATATAATCATCAAATCATGCAGATTCATCCACCTTAACTAGTTTCGTAAGCACAGCTTTACTGATTGTTCCAACAAACGAATAATAATAATTTCGAAGTAATCCTAATTTTATATAATTCAGAAATGTCCGTTCCATGTACATGTATTTACAAAAATAAAATTTGCAGGGATTGCCATTATCTGTTTTCCTTTTGTGGTTTAAGTTGGATTGAAAAGCCTGGATTTAAAAAGGATTTTGAGTTTGAACACATGTCCTATATTCCATTTGTGTGGAAAAAAAACTGTCAAAGAAAAAAGTGTTTTGTTAAGAATAACCATTAATAATTAAACCTGACAGTATTTGCAAAACCCCTTTTAATCAAATTACGGTATTCTAAAAAAAAGTATTATTTTCATATAGACATATTGGACAGAAAGTTCTTTTATACATAAATTTAAAGCTAGGTCAGTTTAAGTCAGTGAGATCAAATATCCTATTACATCGCGGCTTCGATTCCCACTGTGGGACCTTGAGACCATTCGTTCGGTTGAGACCGTATAAAGCGATCGCGATGTCCCGTGTCGAAGTAGGTGCTGACACGAAAAAGATCCCTCACTGCTCAATGACCCAAAGTGCCGAGAATAGGACAACATGTGCAGCTCTCTGCTGGCATGGGGATGGTGAATACATATGCGTGAAAAATTCTCGAGAGATATTGAACAGCATGCAATCATTAAATCAATCAATCTTATCTCCTATGCTTCCTTTACCTTTTCCATCAAAATCGAATTTGGATTTAAAGCTGTTTTGAGCCATATTTTGTTGAGATATATTCACCTATTTCCATGCAATCATTAAATACATGTACCTCTTATATACTCATTGTATTGTCGCAACATCGAAACAACAGTAATTGCAAGAAATTATATCGTTAAATATACATCACAATAATCATTTGAAGTAAAATACAATATCCCGCTCTAAAATGAACAGGTTAAGAAAATATTTGTGATGTAGATAATACGAGAGCTTGCAGTAGTTGGTACGTAAAAACTTTAGATTTTTTTCTCTGAATTTATGCTCAACTACAGAAAAAAAAAATAAAAAAAATAATAAATGCACTATTATAAACGCGCACTATAAGGGAAACAAACGGATAAAGATATACACAAATAAATTTAGGAAAGAATTTATTTTGAAAACCCTTTAGTTAATTACATGATTTAAATTTATCTTGAAATGCATAAACTAATTTGACGCTATCATACATTCACTTTATTTAATAATTTTAGTGATACATGTTAAAATTATAATGTAAAGCATGTGAGCTTCATATATATTTAATATACAAAATAAATTTTGATATTGCAAAACGCATTTATATAAAAATATTATTGAATGTTTATATCTCTCTCATCCTTTAAAATTCCCTCAATATAAATGTTTCCGTAAAATATTCATTCTTTACATTTAAATAGAATTTAGATTCTTTGAATTTCAGGTAAAATTATTTAAAATATGTATGGATCTATGAAACATTTTATGTGTTGATTAAATAAAGTCACAAAATCAACAACAGCAAAAAAGTAAAAATACTATAATCTTTAAATGAATATGAACATTGAAAATCGTATGGTCTATAAAAATTATTAAATTTAATTCAGATTGATCATGAAATATTTCCATTTCTATTTTTTTCTCTGTGATAACTCTTTGAAAGTTAACTGAGTTGATTTCTTGATAATTCTACTGGAATGTAAATTAGGCAGGTCGATAGGTTAGGAGCTAAGGAGGTCAAATATGCATGCAAATCTCGTGCGAATCTGTCTCTGTGTATGACGCTAAGGAAGTCAAATAAGCATGTAATTCTTGTGCGACTGCCTTTGTGTTTGACGTCAGTGGCCAAAGACTATTGAAATTCGCATGGAGGTCCTCGTGTAATATAAATCTGTGTCTAAAATTTTAAAATGTAAATCATCAATTTTATTTCACAGTGAAATGGAAATATAAGGAATCACTGTCTAGTAAGTATAGTATGCCAAGAACATCAACGGTAGTGGGAAACATTGGATAATTATTATTATATATTATGGGGTAACGTAGCAATCGTTGTGTTCTTGCAAGTCGTCTTTTACAGTCATACCTTTCAGATTTTACTATCATAATACAGAAAGAGATAAATGTCATATCATTTCAAACCTTAAAGCTTTTCCCACATATAAGCAATAAGCTAATCTGCAAGATACAAGAAAAAAAATAAAAGTAAAGTATTTTTAAAAACGCAAAGATAATCTCTCGATCCTTTTACATGGACTATACAATAAAACATATTTAAGAAACATTTTTTTCGTTTAGTAAATAAATACTAAAAATAATTAGAAACACTTTTTATGTACAATAGAAGGACCAGATTCTTCATATTCTTGCTTGCTGATCGACATCTCACGGAAGTTTGAAAGGGAAGCGAGGATCGATCCACCAGTCCAGGCGGCGTATTTCCTTTCAGGTGGCGCGATGATCTCAATATTCGTTGCTAGTGGAGCTAAAGATGAAATTTCTTTCTGCATACGGTCTGCAATTCCTGGGAACATGGTGGAGCCTCCAGACATTACAATACTTGCTGACAAATCCTTGCGAATATCAACATCACATTTCATAATGCTATTGAATGTTGTTTCATGTATGCCATCAGCTTCCTTTCCAATTAAAGAAGGTTGGAACATGGCTTCTGGGCAAAGGAATCTTTCCTTCCCAATAGATATTACCGTGTCATCGGGTAACTGATAAGATTTTTCTATGGATGACGAGGACAAAGCTGCTGTCATCTCCTGTTTGAAGTCAAGAGCAACATAGCATAGTTTTTCTTTAATGTCTCTCACAATTTCCCTTTCATTCGACGTCGTAAGAGAATGACCACGGTCTTCCAGAATTTTCGAGAGATAATTGGTAAGGTCACTGCCAGCAAGATTCAATTTAATGATTCCATGAGAAAGAGCATTTCCCTCATAAATAGGCACTGCGTGAGTAACACCGTCTCCTGAGTCGAGAACAGTACCTGTTGTAAGACGAGAGTGAAATAAAGAAAGTACGGCCTGGACAGCTACGTACATGGCTGGAAATCTGAAGCTTTCGAACATAATCTGTGTCATCTTTTCTCTATTAGCTTTGGGATTGAGCGGTGCCTCAGTTAAAAGAACAGGGTGTTCTTCTGTTGCCACATGAAGTTCATTATCGAATGTGTGGCGCCATACCATTTCCATATCGTCCCAATTTGTGACAATGCCCTGTTCGATGGGATACTTAAAGTTGAGAAAACCTCTCTTTTTCGTAGCCTCGTATCCAACATAACTGTCCTTTAGATTCCTATTAGGTATCATGCTCTGAAACTATAAATATCAATTTTGTAAAACGTCAATTTATGCGTTCATTTGAGAGCAATGGAGAATAATTTCATCAATAGAACTATAAATGACACGTTCTTAAAATAATTGACAAGATATATAATAAACGTATTAAATTTAACTGTTTAATCTTTTAAGCACCTTTGGCTAAAAAAAAAGCTTCCACCAATTGAAGACCGAGACTAAATACATTTTGAACAAATATTCATTATAAGAACATAAAGAAATGCGCTAAATCAAATTTACGCTAATTTGCTCAAAAGTCAATTTCCGTCAGATACTGTAAAACAAAGTCTTGATTGCGTGCGAGAAATTTGCGCGAAGTTTGCGAGAGCCCCGTCATCGGAAATATTTCTTGCCGCGAACCGGTCCTTAAAAAGTTTATGTGCCTATTAACAATAAATTTACGCCTATTAACAATAAATTTATGTAGGCTTTGTCGAGAATATTAATCGTCGCGACCTAGTTTATTCTTGGTAAATTACAAAATAAAGTAGTTGCGAATAAAAGTTTACAGAATCGTACACACCAAATATTTTACATTTAACAAACAATCATTATACAGAACTAAAAAAATATGCAAAATGAGTACAAGTTTGAGATAATCACGAACGTTTCATTTATTTATAACTTTGACAATGTCAGATGATGTCGATGATTTAAACAATGTTGTTGCAAGGACATGCGTTCTGAAGAACATTGTCGAAAACTTATTAATCTGTAATATTCATCTCTTGTAAATGTTATTATATAAATATTGCATGTAGTTGAGTGTAACATTGAAAATGTTCACCCCAAGAAAACTATTGTCTATCGAGGCGCAGCCGAGGCTCACAATGGTTTTCGAGGAGTGAACATTTTCAATGTTACACTCAACTACTTGCAGTATTTATCATATTATACTGAATGTTTTATATAAATACATATTACAGTGAACCGTGCGCGCATAAATTCCGCGCAGTCGCTATTTTTTGGAATATCACCCGTCGTCAAGCAATGTTGACTGTTGCTACGCAGGAGGGCGTGGCTTCATTATTCAGAGGGTAGTAGTGTTTTTATCAAATGTTTCTCGACGAATCAGATTCAAGTAATTTACATGAAAGTATAATATTATCTTTTATTGCATTTATTATTGCAGTTATTAACATCAGATCTTATAACTGAATGAAGTCTATATACCTCAGTCTATTCGATACACAATGTATCCTTGAGTCAAATGCTGACTGACGTTTTTTTATACTAAGTGCTAGTCCGTTATTTATACACTAATTTGACAGAGCATTTTTTCGTTCTTTCCCGATCATATGACAAGAAGCACACGGCGGGTGTGACGCCTAAATAATGAAAATGAAAGGTATAACAAACAAAATTATTGACTGTGTTCTCGGCAAAATGCCTCCGGGAGACAGTTTGGTTTTTGGGTCCGACAAACGCATGTTGCCGTCATAATAAATGTATATTGTTTTACCCTTTCTCACTTTTACCCTGAATTTCTTACTATTTCGACTGTTTTCCACGACTATCGGTCAAGGAACTGTTACAATAAACTGTTAAAAAGGACTTGCCCTCTGACGTCAAATGGCTCCAAACTGAGTCATTTTTTCATTCGGTAAACGAGTGAGAAAACATTTCTAGATAGGAGTCTCTATAAATAGTCGATATCTTATACCGGAGTGCAAATTGTTGCCCGTGGCATACGAACTTTGGCTTGCACTCCTGTCCAACAGATCGACTGTTTCCCTCTACCCCGTCAACAACCGTATATATAATTTCATGAATGTTGTTTTTGTATTTCGATAACAGATGTTTTATAAAAGATGTTCCTAATTTTCTTTCGATTTCATCTTTATCTAATGTTAATAAATATGGTAAACACTGGCTTTCTGATACTACAATTCTGCTGAAATATCACTCCGAAGTTACAACTTCTTTCGTTTTTAATACTGCATGTAAGAAATTTCGCAACTAAAAAACTACGTATACCCTAAGCGTATACTTATGTTCATCAATGCAGCTGTACGCAGTAAAAGACAAGTATAACGAACAGTTATTACGGTAACCGTTGTTAACATTATAATTGTAAAAATGTCGAAGATATCCCTTCAAATATATACGCTATAAATTTTTGAATATCTTTGAATATGTAACAACATTTAAAAATAATTCTTTAATACTAAAAAAAAACAAAAACATTATAATAATGGTTATTTTGTGAATGAAAGATTAATATGTTTCTATCTTAATTTTTTGTACAAGTAGTATTTCTAAGCAAACGAAAATTACTTTTGCACATTTTCTCATTTCACTAGTACAATACATATACAAGCTAGGTCGGAAATATAAAAATAATGAAAATATCTTGTTTCCCTACATAAAATGCCTAACTTTGGCATTCAAATTGTTTGAGAAACATGGAAAGATCTAAAACTGATGAACTCTAAATCCATTCTCTTGCAATAATTATTTTTTTTTTATTTTTTGTGCTGTAATCTTGCGCACGCTTTAAAAATTGTGGTTGGAATGCTTTTTAATAATTTTGAAACTTTTTAGTATATGTACTTTTAATTATTATATTTATATATAACTTATTCAATTTGAGAAATAAACGAATTTGGTCTTTTGCAAGTATTTTAACTAAAGTCATTTTATTTAGACTGTATACTTAAAGTGACTACCTGTATCAGAAAAAAATTTAAGTGAAAATGAAAACAAATTTCATTCAACATAAAATAACTTGTCTCTGTACCTGATGTTTTGGGCGTCCTACAAAGGCGGGAAACACGACTCTCGGGGCGTCATCCCCTGCGAATCCTGCCTTGCACAGTAAAGATCCATTGTCAATAACTAAAGCTGCACGATCTTGGCTCATTCTTTTTAGATAATTAATCCTTCAATAATAGTATTACAAGGTAATAAGTGTTCTTGGAAACTTGGGTAAGTGGGCTGTGCAAATGTTTAAATACGACATGCAGATATTTTCAAACAGATATATTGCCTTATATGGTAAAAGCTCCATTATATAAATATTTAGAAATCATTTGACCAAAAACAAGGCATAATTTATGGGAGGTATAATATAAGCAAGTGACAAAAGGAGCAGACATAAAGAGTATTTATTTATCATACGTTAGTATCACGCAATAGAGTAACTTAATATGCTGTGAATGCAAACACCAGAGCTCTTGTCCTACCTATTTATTTTGTAAGGAAGATGCTCTCAATACTAAGTATTCTATCGACTTTTCTTTTTATGTTTTTGCACAAGAAGACACCAATGATTCAAACACCTAATGTCAAGAGTTTTTAGCTGTGTTTAAACATAAATCTGCAGACTCATTTTTTTCTCTTTTTTTTTAAACTGCCTTTCAAATTTTTTCAACATCTGCGATTTTGTTTTAACTTCATAAAGAATAAAGGCTATTATACTGCTATTATACTTATGTACATGCAAAAGACCGTCCCTTTGAAATACTATTGTGTGTAATCAAATGGGTATCTATAAATTCATAAAAGGGGGTAATTATGAATCAAATATAAATTATACAACTAATAGTTAAGCTGTTGCAGTAAACAATTAGGACAAGTTAATACAGACCTGGAGCTCTCTGCTTAAGAAAATCTACGCAGATAAAACAGATAGCCGCGGATCCAAGCGCTGATAAAACTTTCGACTTAATGCTTTTCATCGCTTTTAAAACGATTTTTGATAATCCATTTACTATGTTTTTGACTCTCATTTTAGGACAAGCGGATTTTCTTTGAAAGAATTTTTTTTTACACACACGATCTCAAATATGGACGTTGGAATGCAAATTTTGTAAACAGACATTCGAAAACCATAAAAAGAATGCTTGGGCCATTCAAAGGTAATAAAGTATCAAGGATAGTTGTGAAATATCAGAAATAATTAATCAGAATTTCAGATTCGGGGAAAAGCTAAAAATGCAAGAAATAATACCTTGAATGCGCAAACAAAAAACGTAAATGGAAGGATTTTTTTTTACAATACTTGTATATGAAACTCTCTGCTTTATCTGTCTTAATTTTTTTTTTTGCAAGCTTAGAGTTACAGTTTTGCAAAGTCTAAAGAAAAAGGAAGACTCTTTAACTGCGTAATTATATAATTGGAACCTTTTTTTATTTGTATCCGTCAATAATTTTAACAATTTCCTTACATTTACACAAAATACAGAATAGATACAAGTACATGTAATGATACATAAATCACGGCTCTTGACAAAATTAATAGAAATTGAAATCATCATATCTTTCCAAATACTAATACCCCTTATATTGATATTAAGTAAGACATACAAATATGAAATATCTTTGATCTTTGCTAAACGTTCCTTTTCTCCGTGTAAAATTCTTCCACGCTTTGAACACAGTTAAGAACATAAGTCAATATGAGCTGCAAGTTTGATGTCGAAAATTTCTGTTGCAATATTTAATAAAACGTAATGGTTTTAATTATATACAGATGTATCTTAAAAGCATTTATGAACAATAGCCAAGTGCAAATTCATTTTGACATAATAACTAATTTATGGAACTTTCTCGTTTATTAACATTTTCGTGTACTGTCGTGAACCCAACTCACAGTTATTGTACTATCGCAGAATTTAAAGAAACCGCCCTCACTCTCCATTTTCATAAACAACAAGACACTTAGGTATGTTGCACTTTGCCACTAATGTGACTTTAATTATAGAAAAAAAATTGGTAATTGATATTTAATAATTGATCATGAAACCCATAAAATTATTAATAAACAACTTATTATCTGTATCAAAAATTCACAACAGAATGAAACCGAATTATGAATATGATTAATATGTTGACCGTGATTACATAATACATGGCGTAATTTATTGCATAATATATCAAACATTTTTTTGGTCTGAATCCGAAAACAACGTAAAACACATAAAACACCAAGAAAATAAGATATAGACAGAATTTAACGTCTTAAAAAATGGAAAAGGTGGCGGGGTAGAGGCGGCTTAAAATAATTTGAAGCTATCCAACACACATGTACTTTTCACGGCGTCCTAAAAGAAACTGAAAAGTGACGCTATCTGGACGACCGGGTCCAGATTTTTATCGCACACTATTTTCATTTGGCGTTTACTAAATGTTCCCATTTCCAAGAATCGCTTGCATCTGCCTCTCCTAATCTGGACATACCAAAAACTTTCCAAGGATAATACAAGCGCGATAACTCTTACACGCAGAGCATTTCAATGTACATAAAATATTTTAAGTAAAACTTAAAAAATTCATTTATGTACAATTGCCAATGCAAATTCATTTTCACACTAATATGTGGAACTTCTCGTTCATTAACATTTTCGTGTACTGTCGTAAACCCAACTCACAGTTATTGTACTATCGCAGAATTTAAAGAAACCGCCCTCACTCTCCATTTTCATAAACAACAAGACACTTAGGTATGTTGCACTGTGCCACTAATATGACTTTAATTATAGAAAAAACTTGGTCATTAATTATGTAGAAATTGATCATGAAATCCGTAAAATTATTCATAAACAACTTATTATCTGTATCAAAAATTCACAAAAGACTGAAACCGAATTATGAATATGATTAATACGTGAACCATGATTACATAATATATGGCGTAATTGATTACATAATATTTCAAACATTCTTGTGGTCTGAAACTGCCATGTACTTAATTAAATTTATACTTTAAATTAAATTTAATCAAGTCCAGACCCCAAGAAAAAGAAGCAAAACAAAGGGGCAAAGTACAGATATATATGTATCCGTCAAATTAAAAATTGTACATTTAAGTCAGCAGAGATAAACATAAGCCCTGCTTGTCCTTTTGAATGTTTGTATAATATATAGTTCTACACATATGAACAGATAGGAATAAACATATGTCCTATGATGTACAAAATGAAACCAAGAGTCATATACAACTAGAAGAAAAATTCCAAGTCAGAGATAAACATATGCCCTGCTTGTCTTTCACAGAAGTAATTAAGTCTACTCAAGTCAGTTTATGAGTAGAACTAGAACTACTGCTACCGAGTGAATAAATATGCCACAAGTGTACTGTTTATTTAATCCAAACCAGGGATAAACATATGCCCTGGACTGAATATGTCAAGAAAGGTTTATTCACCGACAATGATATTAACTTTGGTAAATTATGCCCGACGACATCATATAAACACGTGTTCTTGCCTAGGTGGAACGTTTGTCACACCCCTAGGTACGAATGATGAAGGGTTCTCATTTAACATATTTTTTTACATTACTGTTAAAACTTGTCACTAAATGTTGTATGCATCAGAATGCATATTTTAAAAGCAAAACTATTTTTTTTCCAAAATGCAGCTCATATTGCTTTTAAATATTACAAACAAAAGTTAAAATTTAAAACTAAAGTTATTTAATCTATTAATTTTTTGTGGAGGAAGCACAGCGGAAAAACGTATCACACTATTTTCCTTGAGAGTCATTTTAAAGTCTTGATTTGTGTATTTTAGAAATATTTGTATCATTTTTGTATGAAAACGTTTACTTTAATTTCATGTACTTATATATGTGCAGTTGTAATTTCAAAGCCACATTCAATGAATCTCATGAAGCATACTAAGACAACAGTCAGTCAATAATGATAATTACACTGTGATAATAATATTTTGAATAAGACATGTTCTTAAAATAAATTCAGAAATATCTGCACTAGTTTATTTTAGTCCTCTTAATTTATGGCAGTAAACCCCTTTCCTAAAATCAAGTAAATACAACATTTTCAAAACTGTAGTTAGTTTACCAGCTTATTACACTACTAAACATTTAAAATACATGTGACAGTTTCCTTTTTACACAAAAATGAAACTCATACATCAATTTCCTATTATATGATTTATAATATTGATAATATTTAGAAGATGCTTAAGTTTCTATTTGACAATATTTATGTAGTTTATAGAGATCTAGTTAGTTTTCAAAGAATCATTCGGAATTCCTATAGACCTATTCTGTATACTAAATTGTCGCAGAACGTATTCAAAATTATATACGAGTATACAGTGTATGAGAAGGAGAAAAGTTGTATATAGACGAAGTATTTATGTTAATGATATGTTATAATCACAACTAGATACTTGATAAAAAATATTACAAAGTCAGATTCATCCGTTTCAAATTTTGATATTTTAGAAGAAAAAGACATTAACTGTAACTCTAAAATAAAACTAATTTTGATAAACGCAGTGACTTTAGTGTCTCTAATCCCAACGTACTTTTTCTTGGATGTAGAAATTATACATCTTCAATCTGATTTGGTACGAAAAAGCAATCTCTGGCTCATAAAAGATTCCAAAACGAAAACGCTTTGGGTAAACAAGTTGATAAAACAAGGTTTTCAGCAGTATCGTTTAAATTCAACATTTGCAGGATCTATCATCAATGAAATAATCTTACTCGTAAATACATTTTTCATCATTAAGTCGAAAGCTTACTGACTTTTTCATAGAAATTTTAAGGTTATTTTACACATTAAACTGTCTCGATTTTTTTCTTTTCGCCTGATCTTGACAATGAGCCAACGACAAACAAAAATGCTAAGGTAAGCATAGTTTTCTACAGTTGTAGTAGATCAAGTTTCAATGATTTTATTTGTATTTTTAGTAAATGAAATTTTCAAAGTCTTCTCTGTAGTAAATCAAACTTCAAACGTTTTTGCTATTATTACATTAAAGTTATCACCAACATGAATTACAGTTGCATCTTGTGCGGCTAAAATTGCAGATTTCTATATTCTAATAGCTGCATAAACTACACATATCAAAATACGCGTGTGTAATTATTGGGAGGGGATGGATAGGTTAA